GACATGTGAGGTTCGTTCAAAATATCCACTAGTCTAGGTAATTAGTCATCAACCGTGTGATTTTGGATAACCCTTTGTGGATATCCCTCCGTGATTGTATGCAACCATTTCAAGATTCCACTTTAAAAGGAATTAGCCACAATCCGTTCTTGTTGGTGGACATTTGACAACACGTAGCCTGCAACGGCTTGTGTTGTTTTCCCTCTCTGTGAAAACAAGTGGGCCCTCCAAGTTATTGGCTTCCTGTTGCTTTTCTTTTTGACACCAGTCCCCAAAACCTATGTCTACTTGTACACGTCCCATTTTTCTCATCTCGCCCACCATGAAATACCAACACATGCCACCACTGGGCAAACCTAGGTCCCCCGTAGTGCCCTTTTACCTTCTTTTGGGGGAGGGTTCCCCTACTAAAATAGACTACAGAAAAAATCGGGTGACCTGCCACCGGGTTCCCCTACCAAAATAGACCGACCAGAAAAAACATCGGGTACCAACTTATTCTAACCTCTCTACTGGAACACCTAGAAACCGAGCCGAACGCGAGAAAAGAACTGGGGGATCGTCACCCTAGAGGCTAGGGTTGGACAGGTTGCCAACGAGTGTTGCATCCTTGAGGGTGAGGGAGGATCTGTGTTTTGCTTTTGCTTTTTTTTTCTTCTTCTTCTTTTTTTCTCTCTCTCTCTCTCTGTTCTTTTTTTTTTTTTAAAGAAGCCAATTCCAGAAAAAAGAAAAGAAAAAACAAGGCAAAAACAAAACACGTTTCTACCTGGCCCCCCAAAAGTACAATCCAAAGGTACGCTTGGATTGAGAGCCTCGACTGCTCAGAGGATGTTGCTTCAGGTTTGCGACCTCCGCAGGTTTCAGAGACGTCCATCCAACCTGGATGGAGTATACATGGGTGTGGCTCAAAATTAGACAGCAGGGGCCGTTACGCAGGTTTTGGTCCATGTTTCCACTTACCAGGGCAAGCCATTTTGGAATTCCGGTTTTTTGAGCCACAGCCACATCTTGCCCAACACGGGCTGACGAGAGTTGGAAAAACTTGCCTTCAACAGTGCGCCGCAAGCGCAGCCCCCACCCCCCCCCCGCCTCTTTGTGGAAGAAATCAATCAATCAGTAAGTTTGGATGTGTCAAACGCCAAATGTGGGCCAAGCCTCAATTTCCTTTACAACACTGGCGCTTTCGCACACAGTAACCTCACTCTTTTTTTTCTTCTCCTTGCAACAAATGTAAATCGCCACGGGCCCACCCCCTCCCAGGAACCAGACAAACCACGCGAGCATGTGTAAAACTATATGATGAGATATCAAAGTCCTTTCGCTCACATTCCCGTCCAGCCTTGTGAACATCCAACATATTTTGAGGGCCATGTAAATAAATGTCCTGTGAGTGGGGACAAATCAGGTGCACCTTTGGGATTCGTATGTTTTTCTTCACTGTGATGATTTGACCACTTCTTATGCCCTCAACAGAAAGAAGTATGGACATGGTCATGACAAGCTCGGCAGGGGCAATGCATTGAGGCATGTGTCGGATCCTCAATGCATACCAAGATCTCAATGCCATCAACCTTGGCCTTCTATCCAAGTGCGGGTTCTCAAAATCGTAGCCCCCAAATTGGTTATTTTCCTTCTGGTTTCCCTTTCAATACCAGCCAACATGTGGTCCGCCATTTTGAAAACCTCTCAGGGGATGAGTTTGAGACACAGAGCCTCTCTCGTCTCATCAGGCCGACATGAACGGCTCCAATTTTGTCCGGCTTTGCAAGGCGGGGGGTCGTCTGGAAGCGGATGTCGTGGCTCGCGTTGTTTTTCTTTTCGGGGCTCGGAGTTGGGTAGGGAAACCTAAAGGACGCCAGCCTTTGGTGGGTTCTACTGAGAGGTAACGTGCAACCTGCGCCGTTTTTTTCTGTCTTTCACATGATAGTTTGAGAAGTGGGGTAAGGATGTCTCAACCAGGCCGGCAAGGCGAATTCAAAGCATGCAATGGCTTGTGATATGACTGGATGCGTGGCTCCGGAACGCCGGTCTGCACGGCGCGTAGTAAGACACCCCCCCCAGAGAACCCCCCCCCCAAAAAAAAACACACACACACAAAAAACACACACAACAAAACAAAGAGAAGTAAAAAACAAGTAGTAAGACACCCCCCCCCCCCCCCCCCTTCCCCCCCGAAAAAAATCAAACAAGTATGGGATGAAGGCGGCAAGGCAGGGATAGCATCAGTCCTGAGTGTTCGCCTCAGATGCCCAAGGGCCGCAGGCATCACCTCCAGAAGCTTGCTGGCCGTATATAATGAGTTGCCCCATGCTAGTGGTTTGCTTCCCAGGCATGGGTTACATCGCTTTGGCCAATATTTCCGAACGGAGATCCAAAGAACCCAGACCTTTTGGAGCAGGACCCCCCAGGACCCCCATACGACCGGCAGAGCGGAGGACTGTGGCTTGCTGGACGAGCACCTGGATGCGGTCTCGGCGCGCTCCTTCAGATCTGGTCGGAA